AAGTAACTTTTAAAAAAAGACTAAAAACAGGCCTTTACTTTTCGCCTTCAGCAATTTGGTTTTTTATAGAATAAAAGCTCTTGCAGCTTCCCTTCAGCACAACTCACTCTGTGATAAAAGAACGTGAGCCCCTACTGTGAACTTCTAAAAAGTTGCTTTTATAAAAACTCAAGCTGCAGCAGGCTACTGCTGAAGAAATAGCATAATTGCCGTATTATAAGATTGTCGGATAAGTTCTGCCATTTTTTTCCAACTCAAAAAATTTCTAAGAAACCTAAAGTTTTGACAACACTTTGTATACCATTTAGGAGGAATATCCTCTATAAGAAAGTATAGTTGGCTTATTCAGTCATTTTGGCTATATTAAAGTAGAACTGATTGAAATTGAAGGTTTAGTGGTCCAAGACACCCATCGAGAGCATGACTTTTTGAAAAAGCTCAAAATTTGCTGTTATGCTACCTCCTGGGGTAGACGGGTATGATTATGAAAATCATAATCATAATTCCCTACAATAGGCCTTACTTTAGGATTACAGCAGGCATTTGCTACATTGGTCAAATTTACGGATTTGTCTGAAAAGTGGACATAGGATCATTTTATGCCAATTTTAGAAATGACACCCACATCGCATAATAAGCCTTCACTGTAACTGGATAAACTGTCTACCTTGCGTGGCTTTACTATGGGAAATGGATGTGATTTTTCTACTCAGGGCATCAGTTAATCCCAGTAGACCTCTTTGCTAGGCATATCAACGAATAACTTGAATATTGCCTACCGTATCCTACAGCAAGGTCGTACTGTGAAAAGTGGTAATACAAAAGTCAATTCCTTATCAGGAAGCGATATTGAGGAAAAGGGGTTTCTCACAATCCAGGAAAATTAAGCTATGAGTTGAGCTTTTTTTTGTAGCTCTTTGTAAATGCATTTTCAATTCTCAGAAAAAAAGCAAGCATCTTATTTTGTAGGGGGGTACCTTAACTTTCGAATGATGTACAATGTGCTGTTAAATCGTTCTTTTAAAGAAGTAAAACGCTTTTGGCAAAGAAAAAAAGGCGCGAACTTATCCGACAACCCAATAAAATGCGAAATTGCTCCAAAAGCTAAGGTTTTTCCTTCCATTTACTTGAAATCAGAAGCGGACCCGTGTCGCGTGACCCACTTACAAATCGCACTGCAGATTCTGATGCCATAATGTGTCCTGAAGGAAATATAGCACACATAAACTCTTTGTTAAGTACCCTGCACATATTTAGACATCCTTAACCCATACCAACATTATCAAACCAATCACCTTGTGGTATATAAGGATATTGAAGTAGGACTTGAGCAGAATTCCGACATGTACTCTTTGGCTGTTCTTCTGCTGGTTTTGCCCGCTGCAGTCGCTCAGTTTTCTCCATTTGGACGTAGGTTTTCTATTTTGTCATCAAATTAAGTGAC